AAGATCCAGCAATTCCACTCCTAGGTATATACCCAAAAGAAGCACATTCATACAACAAAGACATCTGTTCAACAATGTTCATAGCAGCACTATTTGTAATAACCAGAAACTGGAAGCAGCCTAGATGCCCCTCAACTGAAGAATGCATAGAGAAAATGTGGTACATTTACACAATGGAGTACTACTCAGCAGAAAAAAAAACAATGGAATCTTGAAATTTGCAGGAAAATGGATGGAACTCGAAGAAACCATTCTGAGTGAGGTAACCCAATCACAAAAAGACAAACTCACTTATATGTGGATTTTAGACATAGAGTAAGGGATTACCAGCCTACAATCCACACAGCCAGAGAAATTAGTAAACAAGGAGGACCCTAAAAGAGACAAACTTTGTCCCCTGGAGAAGGGGAAAGGGTCATGATCCCCTGAGCAAATTGAGAGCATGGGAAGAGGGGAGAGGGAGCTACTAGAATGAGAAGGGAAGAAGAGGAAGGATGCAGAGGTCATCAGGGAGCAGAAAGGTTGAGTCAGGTGTAGATTAGAAGAAAGGATATGTGATAGGTAGGATTTTAGTTGTGGGGGTAGGGGAGGAAGGGAGGGAGAAGGGAACTGGGATTGTCATGTAATTCAATCTTGTTTGTAATTCAAATAAAAAAGATTTATTTATTTATTTATTATGTATACAACATTCTGCATCCATGTATATCTGCACACCAGAAGAGGGCACCAGATCTCACTACAGATGGTTGTGAGCCACCAAGTGGTTGCTGGGAATTGAACTTAGGACATCTGGAAGAGCATTCGGTGCTCTTAACCTCTGAGCCATCTCTCCAGCCCACTATTAATTCTTACAAAACGTATAGTCATAATGAAAATGCCATGGAAACTGAGTGTAGGTTCACAATCTCATTAGTCCAGACCCAAGTCCCTACTCCAGATCAGCTCAGAGTTCCTGAGTCTGTCCTCCTTTGTACTATGGACTTTGCATGAATAAAGACAAAATGTACTCAAAGATAGATGTGAAAGGCCTCACACTTCTTCATGTTTCCGAATGCTTGTTCTCTAGTATGGAGTGCTGATTGGTCTGGGAAGTCATGGAACCCTAAAGCACTGGAGAGCAGCAGGAGGAATTAGGTGACTGGAGCCATCCCCAGTCAATTTTCCAGCTCCTCCCAACTGCCATGCCTTTCCTGTTTTCTGAGAGCATGGGAGAAGGGATAACTTTTGTCCCTTAAGTTGCATCTTGTTAAGGATTTGTTTACTGCCATGATAAAATAACAGTCTTTCGTATTAGGTGAACTATGTGTGGTTATTCCCTGCTGTTACTGGTCCATCCCTTGTAGTGATATCACTTGATCTTTATGAGAAATGAAAGAAATTCATTCACAGAAGAGATTGCAGTGTGCTGCGGTTAGTCCTGAAACTGCAGAGAAACTCAAGTTGGATGGATGGAGAGCAACTGGATCTCAGCTTTGCTCCTGATACACTTGGGCTTTCCTAGTCTCATAGACCCTGATATTGGGACTTTTCCTCTCATGTTGTGGATTTCCTGTTCTGTGTTTTCTTTTGATTCACCACTCCCTGCTTGTGTTTGACACACTGATTTCTTCTTTATTTCATTTGCTTTTTGAAAAAATGGTCATATTTTGATAAATTTGCTTGGCTATGCTGTACTCTGGTTTCTTTTTCTTTAATTTCAAGCATTAACTTTGTCGAGCAAGAAATGTCACTGTGACACTTGTACACATGCATATAGCAAACTGGATGTTTTCATCAGATAATTTTCATCTAATGTGTTATATTGCAACATTCACTGTCATGTGCTTACACTTTGACCCCTTTTTGTTAGATTCTACCTACACAATCTGGGCTCTAATTAGTCTCAGGATATAACTGGAACGTTTATATTACAACCAACCCTATATTGTAAATGGAGTTCATAATTGTTCTAGATAATAAAAACCCGGATTCAAACATAGAGGGAAACCCTGAGATCAAAGAGGAGGAGCGAGCCCCTGCCACACCTTAGCTGCTTAGCATCTCAGCAGACAAGAGAGGAAGTTCCTGTTCTCTGTGCTCATATCCTGATTCTGCCCAGCTACCTCACTTTCTGTCTGTCTGTCTGTCTGTCTGTCTGTCTGTCTGTCTGTACAGACCTTCAGAGCTCTATTGTTATCTAGTGGCAAGCTCCATATTCTGATCTTCAGGCAGGCTTTATTGGTACAAGTAGGATACTACCACAGTATATTCATGTGTAACTTTCAAAATAACACAATTTCATTCTTCATGGCTGAACATGGCCTCTTCCCTTGACTTTGACCATTAACTCTTCTCAGTGTTTCTGTGGAATTATGTGGAATTATTCTAGATCTCCATGCTCAACTCACTGTGAGCATGAAGTATCTCTGTCATATGTTTTTGACCAATCTTCAACCAGGAATCTCATTTCAGGTGAGGTTCATCAAGGACATTCTATTATACATTGTGTGTGTGTGTGTGTGTGTGTGTGTGTGTGTGTGTGTGTGTGTGTGGTGTTGGCATCAGGGAAGTACTGTCTTTTTACAATGTTTAGAATGATCTTTCCTGTCTCATTTGTGAATCTGTTTGAGAGTCACTGATCTCCATTGCCCTTTGTATCCATCAGGTAAAATCCTTTATACAATCTGTTGGCCCTTGGCTGTCAGTGTTGGGAGAGACTGTATTACTCTTTCTATCTTGCACCCATATCAATTTCTTCACACGTGTCATAAGCTCCCGAATTTACCATCATATGCAGGGTGGAGCCATTGGAAGGCAGCGGGTGGTCCATGTTTGCTTTCCAGTTACATCAATGTTGGCTTCTCGTTGTTAATTAAGCAGTATCTCTCTTTGAGGATTGTCAATGCTCTCGAGTAGAAGGTTGACAGAAGCCCTGAGGGTTCCCATGGATTTTACACATCTCTTTCCTCTGTGACATTTCAATATTTTGTGTCCTGCTTTGGGTGAGTCTCAGATTTGTTCCTCCTTCAAAGGAACGGATCTTGTTTCTCTGACCTTTGTTTTAAGCTGAAGTGTCCAGTTCCTTCCAGCTCTCAACTTTCTTATACTTTCTCACGAGTGCTTAGGCATTTGAGTTTGTTTGTTTTTTTTTTTTAATCTTTGACTGCAAGATGAATAATTAGTATTCTTGAGAGGTCTTTGAGTTTAATGTCATTAAAATTGATAACCATAACCTTGTCTCCAACAGATGATTTTTTTTTTTACTTCTAGCATTAGGTGATGGAGCCCTTCTCCACCTGAAAAGGCAGAGGACATGTCAGAGGAAATATCATGGAGGGATCTCAGTGATGCCAATGTACAATCAGCATCTACGTCACTAGGTTCAATGTGGGTTATCTCAAGTGTGGTTAAAAAAAAAAAAAATGTGTTCCCTGAGCCACTTGGAGGAGAACAACTTTGAAACACCTGGAACAAAGAGATTTTATGAGGGCCTTGCCCAAAAAGACATGCTTTATAAAAGAAAAAGTAAGTATATTATTGGCCAAATAGAAAACCATAGAAAGAGCCGTTCCACAAAGAGGCCTGCACATCATATAACACTCCCTCGATTTCCATTGAAGAGGAGATGGAGTCAGCTGGCTCTGCCCACTTTTTTCACAACACCACAACAAAGGCCAGGCAATAAAGGCCAGAAGGTAAATAAAAAACATATCTAGGGCTTCTCTAAGTTTATTTCACCTGATTTACACATCAGATATTAACTCACCTATGAATTCTGCTCCACAGAGTGATTATTTGAACACATTTAGAATGTCTGAGGAGACAGAAAATGCTGCCTCATTTAGGAAAACACATGAGGCTGAGATAGAGACCATCACTTGTAGTTCTACAACACTGGATGTATTCTGCGTGCTAGAAGACAGCAAGTGTAAAATGAGCCCTGAACCTCATGATGATGCCAGCAGTATAGAGAACAAAGCAAGTGAATATTTGAGTGACCTTATTATTCAGATGACAGGGGATCTTAGGTATTTTGTGTCCCACCCTCAGCATGGGAACAACCAATTCGAAAATGTTAGTGGCATGATGACCATCGACTTCCCATCTCCATATACAAAGGAAGAGCTTCAGGAGGTACACATAGCCACCAGCAACCACAGCAGAAGGAGCTGAAAAGGGGTGAGGAGGCAGCTTAGGAACCTGTTTCGAGGGTTATGTTGCTGTCTCCTCGCCCCAAGTAGAGAAGTTTCAACATCCAGGTAAGGGAGACACAGGAATGGGAAATGGGGTTCTAGGAAATGGTGCAGCAAAACAAAACATTCACATGCGTATTTGATGGTTCCTTTTCAAGGCTCTTTGGCACTGATAGGCTGTACCCATTCATAAGACTTAAACATTAAGTTTTCTATTAACCTAGAAATAGTTTTCCCACTGAATCCTGCTCATGATGAGTCTGGGCAAGCTGAGCCAGAAGCATACAGCAAAGGTTGTTACCAGGGGAGGAGCAGGCAAAGATGTGAGGAAGCCGGGCTTTGTGAAAGGGAGCATGTGTTAGGAAGGGATGAATCTGATGGAGAGAGCTGTGGTAGCATAGGGCAATTCTTTACTAATTCCTTCTATATCCAAGTCACTTAAATAGTTCTTTCTATGTGTATTTTCAAGGGTCGAAGATGAGGCCCAGGTCCGTGAAGCCTAAACCACAGGTCTGTGTTCAGCCTGGTGGGGCACAACACACACTGGAGGGAACCAGGCCAGAACAGAAAAGAGGTGTGCCCCAAACTTCTCATATATGCCATACAACTCTAGCAACCAGAGAAGAAGCTCTGTAAACATTCTCCCATGCAGAGAGGGAGGCTGAATTTTATTGGTCTGCAGCTCTCATGGCTGTACAGTGAAACCAGTCCCTTAGTCACCTGGCCATGAAGAGGAATCCATCCTGCTACTCAGTCCACATACGAAAAGTAAGTGCATGACTCTGGATCCTGATCAACTTCTCCCTCCTTTCTGTCAACAGAATCAATGAGCAGATTCAAAGAAGTCTGGCAATCTTGACTCTTAAGTGGTAAAAAGGCACAGGAAGAGGAGGGGGAACTAGAGGAGTGGAGCAAGCCGGCCATGTCATGGGAGAAAAGCAGTGAGGGAGGGAGGAGAAAGGGGCAGCATCTGAAGGAGGAGGAGGAGATTTGTCCAGAGGATATTCCAGTGTGGCAGCAGTAAAGTAAGGGATGAGTGTATGGGGTGGTGACAGGGGCCACAGCCAAGCAGGAGAAGCACAATATTCCTGAAGGAGATTTTGAGTTTATGAGGCATGATACACAGACGAGAAGACCATATCTCCCTGCTGGATTCCAGTTTGTTTCAAGGTGCAACACTTGGATGCTTCCGCAGAAACCTACTCCTGACCTGGGGTGCTCAGTCAGGATGTGGCTGTAGAGAAGAGAGGCCACATGCTTCCCAGGATCCTCTTCCCCTTTCTGCTTTACTCAGTCTTTGACTGATCTGATGACATCTGCTCTATCTTCACAGCCTTCTTCCTTCAAGCCCCAAGGGACTGTTCCCCTCTCCAAGGATGATACAAACATAAAGATTTCATGTCCCCATAGGGGATTCCTCGACTTTGATTAAGTAAACTCCCAAGATTGTTCTGTCTACAGTGAATAGGCAAGTAGTGTATGATAGGGCTGTACATAAGCACTGCCCAGGCAAGGCCAGCATCCTTGGGACTTCTTTGAGCCCAGTGCCCACCTTCTGAGTCAGGATTAGAAGGAACCCTAATTGACACAGAGCTGCAGATAACAGCCACTGGTACTGTATGAATCCTCCCTGAGTGAAGTGTCTGCAGTGTCCTTGGCACCTTTCAGTAGGGAACAGCTTTCTGGGTCAGCAGTAGCTGCCAGCACCAGGAATGTAGGTTCCTAAACTGTGGGGATCATTCAGATGAAGTAGTCTGACTTCACTAAGTATTTCTTTGTGGTGGAAGATGAGTTTCTGATATCTGCTCTTGCCATAACACACCAATGAAATTGAGCTTTTTTCCTCCACAGAGGCTGCTGGTCTTGGTAATTGGGCATATGGACCTCTTTGCAAGATCAGCAATTTGTCTGGAAAAGAGTTCCTGGGCCACACCTGTAGCCAAGACCAAGTTGCTGTGGTAGTCTACATTCTTCAACTCTTGTGGCAATGATGATGCAGTGGGTCATCATGGTCATCATAATGAGGACTTGACTCTTGAATAAATTTTCCCGTGAAACCTGTCCCAGCTGCCCTAGAGCACAAGATACAGGAACATGGTAGAGAGTCACAAATACTTTCTCTTACTGAATTTCCCATCCTGTCAAATTTTGTTTCTAATCTATAGTCATAACAAAACACGGTGGTCATAGTAACTTATAAGGGAAAGTAAATTATTTAGGGTCCACGTTTCCAAAGACTTAGAGTACATGACCATCCTAGGAAAGGGATTGTGGCAATAGGCAGGCTGGCATTGCTTTAGAGCATTCACTGGTAGTTTCCATCTGATTCTCAAGCATAAGACAGAGACAGGTGGGGAACAAAAGGAGTTGGTGGGTAAGGGAAGGGAAAGAGACAGACAGATATGGGGAGAGAGAGAGAGAGAGAGAGAGAGAGAGAGAGAGAGAGAGATTACTTGGCATGATTTTGGCTTTTGAATTATTAATGCTTTGTGACCCACTACTGACACACTTCCTCCAACCAGACCAAAGCTCCTGATCCCTCCCAAAGTGTTTCACAAGCTGGAGACTAAGTATCCAAACATGTGCATCTATGGGGTACAGTCTCATTCAAAATAATACCCAAATTATCTTAGCACAGCACAAGATCCCTTAGGGTAACAATACACTGTATTCTGATTGGTGAAATCGCCCCCTTGTGATCTAATTGCATTTTCAGGGAGCAGATGTGTCACTGCCTCTCTTCCTGTCCAGGTATCCCAGGAAACATCCTTCAAGTTTTCCTGCCTTGTCCCTCATGAACATCTCATAAAGATGTGTGAAGAGACTATTGTGATCCATTTCTTTCCCTCAGAAGCTTTTTGGTGGGAGCAGCTTCCTGAACCCATGTTGGATAATTCATGATCACCTCACAAGGTCAGAATGGAGTAGATTCTGAGACTCTGTCTCTGAAAAAGAACAAATAACAAGCAACCCCCCCCAATTCTCATTGAGAGTCATGACATACAAAACTATCAGTGGTCTGCCATATGGAACAATGGAAATCTGACCATGGTAGCAGCCAGTCAAGCTTCCCATACCATGATCCCTGTGGCAACTGGTGCAAACTGGTGGGACACTCAGTGTCAGTGTGCCAGTGTCATCCCCTGAGTATCCATGACATACTAGGTCAATGCAAGTATAAGTCATGGCCCATGCAAGTATAAGTGCATACTGCCATGGTGTTTAGGGAATATTCTTTCAGTGAGCTCCTTGAATTAGGAAATCTTCTAAGCACACAATGAAAGATTTTCCCAGCCTTCCTCTTGAGTGGTAGAAATGTCGAACTCTGGGTGACTATTACTCACTATCTCCTGTTATAATGAAATGACCCTGGGGACCAGGGTACTCAGACTGAGTACTTTGTTAAGGAGACAACCTGAGGCATAGATCTGCCCATCTCCCCTCAAGGCAAAGGCTGCCTAACCTCAGGCAGTGTGAGGGAAATGTGTTCCTGAGAAACAAAGTTACAGAATCCATTAGGGTCACCACCCAATAGGTCAGATAACATCCTTTCAATAGTGCTAAGGTACCAGGCTTCATCTTCCTTAGGGACTTTGCTCAGCAAAGGAGATGATCACCCATGTGCCCCTTTGAGCCCCCAAATCCACACTCCAGATCTTAACACAAGTCATGACACATCTTTTCTACATACCTCTCTGGTTCTGCAAGCTGCTCACCATGGAAGGAAATTGATAAAAAAAAAAAAAAAACCAATGGTCTATCTCAGTTTGTATTTCCCACAAGTCCTCCAAACCCCACAATGCAAGGAGTATACTCAATCTCCAGTTGCTCATGCTTCTTGTACAGAGCAGAAACACAGGACTGACCACTACAAAGCTCTATGATCCATATGCTCTCTGGACTATGATACTCTCATGAGAGATATTATGAGATGAGAATATAGCCATCAAAACTTCTTGTGACAGGGATAATAGATCAACTAGACTAAGAAGTTGTTCTGCAAAAATGAGCTCAGATCTAGAAACCATATAAAAACCTGGCATGGCAGTTCGAGCCTATAATCTCATGCCTATGGAGATAGACACAGACTCCTTCAGATTCCTGTGTGGATGATATAGCCAAATTTCTAACCTCTACAAGGCAAGTGTCTCAGAAAACAAGATACCACTTGAGACTCCTTATTAGTCACACATAAGCCAACACAGGCCAGTGCTGCAGAACACACAAATGAAGTCATACAACTCTACCTAGACAAACACACACAAGATAGAAGATAGGAAGAGGGGGAAAGAGAGACAGGCATTGATAAACACTTCATCTTTCACAAAGATTGTTCTTAAGTGTGAGATCTGTTTCTCAGCGTGCTATCATGTTTTTTCTGCAGCAGCATTCAAGTGAAGGCTCATGCATAACTGTGTTTGAATTTTACTTTTGTCTCATCAGATGCATCTGCTGAAGAGCATGATTGTCTGAAAGGACAGCAGGAGACTCTCTGTGCTATCATCCTGGGAGAGACACAGAACAGCAGCCTTTAGTTTGTTATAGGAGGCTTGGCCATAGTACCTCAGTGTTGTGAACCCTGTGTGTGCACTTCAGCCCTGATATTCAGACACAAGTCGCTTGGAGAAACTATAGCAGTGTAACTATCTCTATAATTAAAGCAAGACTTCTCAGGCCTGATGTGGAAATTCCTTTATTTTCTCAAATGGTCAGTTGGTTTTTATCCTAACCCATTGCCTCTCCTTGAAAGGAACCTATGACATCAAAACACAAGTGAATAGAACTATAGAATAGAACACTTACTTCTCAGACAGGATCTTCTAATCCTTTGTACTCTTCACCACACCATGTAATTACTGGAGTTATTCCAACATGAAGCTTTATCACTGACACTTCTAGCTGCTCTTTGGTCAATGCACATTGGTCTTATCGTTAGCTGTTTTGGAAGCATTGACATTTCACGCCTGCAGTATGTGCACTGGGCTGCCCAGTTCTTCACTGTTATGAGCCTGTGAGCAACCATGTGCACAGTGCCAGAATCCAACACCCTGTCACAGATCAGTTTTTCTTAAGGATGCAAGAATGTTGGATTGTTGTCCAAGTTTGCAAATGCAGAGAGCTGCATAGAGCAGTGTCTGCCCTGGCAGCCCAAAGCTGTCAGTTTTAATCCTTATCTTCCTCTGACTAGGTCCTAATTACTGCTGCATCCCTTTTGCAACTTCATAAAAGGATTTACATCCTAACCTTTTATCAGGTGTGTGAGTGTGTCACTGACCTGAGACTACTAAGATTCTGAGCAATACTCTTTTTCCACATGTGATTGCATTAGTAATGTCAGCCAGTGAAACTCTTAGCTTCACACCCCTGAGATGCAAACTAGGATAGCACTAAACATCTGCTAAGCACTCCCTAAGATCACAGACATTCCTATGAGCATCCTAATCTCCCTAGACAACTCACTGGTCACAAGTAACCAGGCAGCACAAACTGAGAATTTCAGGACTGGACCTGGCTGGCACAGCACACAATTGGAAGTTGAAATCTCCCTCTTCAGTTCATCAATAAGAATTCTCCCTCTGTGCTATGGGGCACCTTGAGCTGCTGGTGCAAAGGCCTTCTTCTCTGCCGTGGCCTGGCCAGCTCTGAGCATGGCCAACTCCATGCATTCAAAGATGCTAGAAGCTACAGTAGCAGAATTACATAACCAAACCAGCTGACACCCATGTTGTCAAATGACATGGGAACCTGGAAACTGGCTTCCTCACTGGTCTGCCATAAGTAGTATAGGAAGCAGCTAAAGAAAAGCCTGTATGCTTAGGGTCACAAGGTCACAGAGTTTTGATTGATGGGAACAAAACAGACATTTTCTGGGAGGGGCAAATGAAAAGGAGACCCCAAGGGATATAAAGCTGCTGATGTATTGATTTACAGGTCCATAAATCAGCAGAGGCCAGAGAAGGTAGCTTAGTTCAAATGTCCCTGCTCAGCTGCCCAAGAGTCTACACAGACACACTTCAGGAAAGTTGGAGACACAGGAAGATGCAGAGAAAATAGGGTGAATATGGAAAGGGAAAGCTTGAAGGGCTTTGTCCATTATGTGCTAGGCAGACAAGCATGAGGCCTTGACTTCCATCTCCCCTCCTTTAACACCTATGGTGCCATATACTTAGAAGATCACCACTGGCAAGGTGGGTACATGCTGCTTCCTGTTAGTCTAGCCAGCCTAGCTGAGTCGCTGAAACCTTGATATAGATGAGAAACCGTGTCTGCAGAAAACAAGGTGAATATATCTGAGGAACAATTAGGAATCCCAAGGCTTCTCCATGCACATACACAGAATGAATGTATGTACCGACAAGTGTCTCTGCACACACTGAAAGGTCAACACACACACACACACACACACACACACACACACACACACACACACGTGATAGGAGAAACATAGATCCCTTGTACTTTTGTGGAGCAATTTGTGTCCTTCGGGGCATTTTTATTTCTTATTCTTTTGGTACAGGGCCTGTATTCCAGTCTGAAGATGAGTGAATCTATTATATCTCTAAGGGTGAATTCACACTTCCCCTGCCTCTACCACCAATGTGTTTAAATTAAGTTTATTGGCCTTCCTTTTATATATATACAGTGCTAAATCTAACTCAGAACATGATCTATGATGGGCCAACACTCTACAACTGAGCTACACTCTGAACCTATTTTCCAAATTGTATGTTGGAAATTGTCCTTTTGTAATGGTAGATGGTAGCTCATCTGGGATCATTGTGGATGTTTCAACTTAGTGCATACATCTTAACAGACACAGACACAGGAAGAGTCAGACACTGGAAAAACATTATCACAAGATGAGATACCATGCTATCTCATTGAGAGAGTTTCTCAAGGACAACTACACACAGAAATGGATCCATAGGTGAAAACACACATGCACACATACAGACAGACACATACAAGGAGGGAGGGGACGGGGTTATTGCATACTTGGAATGGTCTCGGCAACTAGCCAGAATGGAACTGTGGCCTCAATAGATCCAGCTGAAATGGTGTCCATGTTCAGTGGTCACTCATAACATCTTTGAAGAAAGAAATTGAAGAAGATCAGAAGATGGAAAGATCTTCCATGTATACATAGTTATAATGGCCATCTTACCAAAAGCAGTCTACAGATGCAATGAATTCCCCACCAAAATCCCAACACAATTCTTTATAGACCTTGAAAGCTTGAAAGGACAATTCTCAACTTCATGTGGAAAAACAAAAAATTGAGGATAGCCAAAATAATAATACAACAACAAATAAAACATTTTGTTTTATCAAGATAATAAAACAATAATCCTGAATAGTAAAAGAAAAACTTAAGGTATCACCATCCCTGATTTCAAGTTGTATTACAGAGCTATAGTAATAAAAACTGCCTGATATTGATGTGGTTTGTGGTGATATATTATTTATGGTTTATTGAAGCTTGCCTGACAATACAGAAAGCAAAGCCAGCTATAGAAGCGAGGTGGTGGCGGTATACATCTTTAATCCTACCACTTTCGAAGTTGAGGTAGATGGATCTCTGTTAGTTCAAGGCCACACTGAGCTGCATGAAATTGATCCACTACTAAAGAGAAACAGCTCACATAAAGGCGATCTCAGCACTTGGGATCAATCACATGCCTTTAATCCCAGCACTAGGGAGTTATAAAAAGCAAAGGGTCTCATGTGGAGATTGAGTCTCCAGCCATGTTGAGTAGATCATAGCAGGTGTGAGGATCGCCCATTCATTCTGAGGTAGAGGTAAGAGCTAGTGGATGGCTGATTTGCTTTTCTGATTTTCAGCTTGAACCTCGAACCCCAACATCAGTCTCTGGGTCTTTTATTTTTCATGTCACAATCTGATGACTCAAGAAAGTCAAAGTCCTGATCAGGACTTAAGCTTGTTGAGCCAGTCCATCATCCAGAGGCCTGATCATGGGAGCTGGAGGCCATGAACCTGTCAGGCTTTTGTCTACAGTCAGGAGGATGAGCAAGAAGCTGGCCATCTTAGAAATTCACCACCTTTATTTCCTAACCACAGCCACTCTCCCTGTCTGTCTGCCTACCAGAGAGTCTAACTCCTGGGCTCTCAAAACCTGTTTATAAATCTACCTCAGTAGAAAGGCTGTTAGCTCTAGGGAAAGGCAAGGCCTGATTTGTACACTTGAGACATTTAGGGGGCCTAGTTAGAATCTGTCTTTTTGTAAGTCAGTGAAAACAACAGGGTAGAAGCAATCTCTTTACTATTTGTCTCTTTATAGCTTAACAAAGCCTCCATAAAGGTCTCTGAAGGATTTTGTTTGCTAGTGGAAAAAGATCCTGAGTGTTGTGACAGAGCAAGACAGTGTAGAAGTTCCTCCATCTTCTATTCTTGCTGAGACCATTTCAGGTTTAACTAAAATATGATCTCCTTGACGGAGAATCCCAAGGAAAATTACCCAACTCTATTCTAGGAACTCAAGATCAGGATGCCCCAGCTTACTTATCGTTCTGATAACTGTCTTGTTCTGCGGGTGCAGAACTCTTCCAGCTAACCATTTAGCTTCTGTTAAACTGCTTACTTCTGTTAAGCCCCCACTACAGTTGTAGAACAAGATGTCAGGATGTGGTTTCTGCCTTCAAACCCCCAGCCCCCAGGCTCTGGACCACACCTGAGTGCTAGTACACCTGGGTGCTACACTTGAGTCTCTGAATACCTGAGTGTAGTCCCAGATGGCTTTCCATCGACTATAAATACCCTAAAAAAACAAAATTGTGTCTGAGTGGTCATCTCTGGTGGGCTTCACATAACAGTGTGTCTTAAGATCACAGATTTTTTAAGCCAGGCAGTGGTGGCGAACGCCTTTAATTCCAGCACTCGGGAGGCAGAAGCAAGCAAATCTCTTGAGTTTGAGGCCAGCCTGGTCTACAGAGCTAGCTCCAGGACAGCCAGGGCTATATAAGAAACCTGTCTTGAAAAGCCAGATAAATAAATAAATAAATAAATAAATAAATAAATAAATAAGAAGAAAAAGGACTTTTGTTTATTTTTATTTTTTAATTTTGTTACTTTAAGCTCTTGTGGGAGAGTCCGTGAGCCTGCTGAGAGGTTCCATTGGTTTGTTTATTAGCCAGTTGAGTCGGGCCTGTAATTGAGCCTCAGTTTTAAGATATTTTACTTAAGAGACTCAGGTAAATAAGTTTATTTTTAAAGTTCTCAGGTTTGTATCATGAGCAACAATATGTCCAATCCTTTGCACCCAAATTTATTCCAAAGCCAGAATGTTTTTAAGGTGAAAGGAGCTTTTGTTGCTGCAGATGGAATGGGCCAGCATCCTCAGGTGAGGAGCTGGTGGAGGCCTGCCTCTGCTGCAGCAGCAGGTGGCAGGGCTGCTGAACTGTCTGGTGAAGATGTGGCATGGTATAAGAAGGCCACACAGGCATGCAAAGGTTGCCCAGAGAGGAAAGTTTACAGGCTTGGTGTAGGGGAGATATTTTGGAATCTCTAGGCACTCCTGGGATTTTCTTAGCAGGACCTCATTTGAGCACTTTTCTATACTTTACAGGTGTTTCTTTTTATCTTAGTTTCTTTAATCTGGACTAAAGGCTTTGTGTGTGGGCTGCTGAGGGAGACAAGACATTTCCATTTCCTCAGCAGTTCT